AGGAAGATGCAGGCGAATGCCAACCGACACACTTAACTGTGAATATTTCCTTGGAGTTGAATGCGCGAGAGTTTGGAGCCGGCGGGCCCGTACGACCTTATTTTTCGGTAAATGTAGTAGGTTTCTTTCTTATTATTATGCAAAGCCTTTGAGCATTGCGACTAGGTCATGTCATCATGATGGATAGGGATGGACATGAGGGACGCGTTATTTTGACGTACATATACCAGTGATATACCATTTGCATGAGGGAGGATTTTGTCTTTATATACAAGCAAGCGGCACAACTTGCGGCGCTATACCAATATCATAACCATAACATATGAACAAGCATTTCGGCAGCAATGTGTGGTGATGGGTGTGTGCTCTATTGATCGTCGAAAGTAGCCGACGAGTTATATCTGGGATGACGAAGTCACAGGCGTTTGGACTATGACGATGCTTGGAGTCCTGTCAAAGTGAGGCTGGAGGATTGATTAGATATGAGCTGTGCCGCAGCCACCTGTCTCGCGACACGTCTCGAGGTAAGCACAACAGGCAGACTTGGTATGGTAGCAGCCACTGCACAGACAGGTGCTGACATCATTCGTGGGTTAGTATCGGAACAAAGTGTGAAAAGGGGGCAAGTGTGATTGACAGGCAATGGAGCTAACATGGCACACGGACGAACCTGTCTAGATGAAAGCAAGTGCGCGATCCGGCGACACGGATCCGGGAAGAGCTGACGGCGCGGCGGTGGGATGTGGCTTGTGTGGTGGGTGATTGCAGGGCTTATTCGCTACTCATGGGCAAGAGATGGTGAGATGTTGTCATGTGTGTAGTGAGATGGACAGGGTAGGCATTGATCGGATCGACGGGGGTCCTGATGAGGACGAGCATAAAGTGTGAGATGGTTACATATACATGGACGATGACGATGGTCGCTGGGCCGTGTTTGAGGCCGGCAGACACTGGGACCGAGGTAGTGCTAGCGAATATGGAATACTGTGGGCGGGCTGAGAATAACTTTGGCTCTAGACATTTTGTGTGCGTCGTCACGGGCAGCGACAGCGGACGACGGTTGGCAACGGCTGGCCGCCTGGCCGGCTGGATGTGCCCGCGACGTACGTATTCCAACGTCTGGTAGGTGGTAGTAGTAGTTTTAATTGCAGCCATGGATCAGTTTGGCAGGCAATGCCGGGCAGGGTGGGTTAGGCGGTCGTCAGTGTGATGTGATATAACATGTAGGACTGGTTGTTCGGTTCGGTCGCTGCAGGGCTTAATGCAGGCACCTCTGTCGGAAGGGCCTCAGCTGCAGGGGTTACCGTTATTCGGCAGGGCAGTCCTCAGGGCAGCACAAGCCACGGTCCAGCAATGTCGCGCCGGGGAAGCATGGGAGCAGCACTGCACTGGTGGTGCCCAAGTCCAAGTGTGGCCGGACGAGGCGGAGGGGGATCTGGTGGCAGGCCTGCTCGTGTCCATGTGTCGTGCGCGTGTTTTGTACAAGAAGAAGCAAACACCCGGCCTTGCTCCCCTTTCGAAGCGAGTTTTTTTCCTGATGCGTGTCCAAAGTTTATATCCATGGCCCGTCTCTGCCTCTGCTACTACCACTGTGGACATTGCGACATTGTGAGACACTGACACGCGACAAGACCACCACCAGTGACTTTTCCTGCGAACGTCACCTGCTGCTCGTCACATACAACAGCAGCCCTCTCTACCATCGTCATCGTCACCACCGACACGCCCTCTCTCGCCATCGTCACCCATCCGCCCGCCGCCCGCCTGTGTTGACCGGCCGTCGCTGCAGGCCCGATGCAGTGAGCATGGACCACTTGGGACCCCTAAGGAATTCACCACCAACGCCTTCACCCCGTTCACCGTCACCACGACGACTCCACGCCCGCCCGCCGCTGCTTACCCGTCGCCTTCTGCGTCGCCAGTGCCTGCCCGCTGGTCGCTGACGAACCGCATCTTCAACCTCAATCTGCGCTCGCTGTACCAGGGTCCGCCGCGCCTGCCCGCCTCGCGTCTCTGGAACCCCGTCAACTCTTCTCCACGCACCCTCCAGGTCGAGAATCCCGCCCCCGCAGCAGCACACGCAGCACCTACCGGTGTCTTGTACCCGCCGCTGCGAACTGCCCCGCGCGAAGAGCACTACCCGAACCTGCCCATTGAGAGGGACGTCGGCGCCAGAGAGGACGGCCGCGACGAGTACCCTCTGCTATCCCTTCCAGAGCAGCGCCTCAGTCGCCAGAGCCCTGTGCCGAGCTCCCTCGCTGTCCAACGTTCCACGTGCGAGGACAGCATCAGCGGTCGCACCAGCATCGCCCTTCCGCGCGATCGAAGAAGCCAGCAGCTATCCCAGCCGCCCACCCCAGGACCTGCCATGGCTTCTGGCGCGAATCCCAGAGACAGCGTGTCGCCCGCGCCGCAAGTCGACAAGGACATTGAAGCCGGTCGCAACCACCAGCACCCGCAGCAGCAGCAGCCGGGCATGCTGTCGCGCGTCTCCCTGCCCAGCTCCCGACGCACCTCACTAGGCTCCCGACGATCAGGGTCTGCAGGTGACGACGACGCTGACGCCGCGTCCGAGTTTCCGTGGGGTCCCTCGCATCCCTGCTTTCCCCATCCGAACCCGCATGTGCCACTGGATTCCGAGCTGTACAACACGACGCGCATCATCCGCATAAAGCGCGACTGGATGACCAAGGGTGACCTGGCCCCGACATTTGCCAACCTATACCCCGAGATATTGGACCCACTCGTCACCGAAGACGACTTCCGGATACTGATCAAGAAGATCAACGATACCCTAATTGACGCCTTTGATCCCTTCACCTTCCGCGCCTGTCTCGACACCGTCATGGGCATCGCTACTTTCTGGTTGTGGGAAGATGCGGGGTTCACAGGTGTGAAGAAGCAATTAGCAGAGCTGGAGCGCTGGATCGAAGACTGGAACCGGGACATTGGCGCAAAAGAAGCCGTCAAAATTATCCCATTACGGCGGACCGGATATCTGACAGTATGTGCACACGCATATTTCAATTAGAGCTAGACTAACTTATTCCCCCAGCTCGACGTGCAAATACCAGACCCTCATCTCGGTCCCGACACAGGTACGCGACCACACACGCAAGAAGAAAATCACCCCGACGAAGCGCCACGGCAGCAGCACGACCAATATTTACCATACCCCATTACACCTACCCTACAGGTTAATTCCCAACCACCCATCATCGAAGCGCAGTCGTAATACACATACACACACACACATAGCATATGAGGACAGAGAAAACTAGGATAACAGTTTAGGAACGATACCACGGGTTTAGCGGCATCAGCACCGGTCGTTGAGGAGTTTGTTGGCCATACGTCTGCTTGGGGGGCCATTTTGTTGACTCTTCCTTTTTTCTTTTCTCCCGTGTCACGACATACAGTACACACATCTGCGGCGACGCAAAACACACAAGTCATAATGTTTCCTTTTCCTCGTTTATCGCCTGTTGGGCTCTTGTTCCTGTTTGTTTTTGCACGATCGATTTTTTCCGATTTTCCTTCCGATACCCTGCTGCCGTATTCATTCGCGATACCGTATCGCGACCTTCTGTTTGTGCTGGCCTAGTACCTGGTAGACGCCCTGTTGTGGCGTAAGCAAATAACAACAATTATTAATCATCCTCCCTGCTACTACCGTCACACCGTGCCACCCATCGTCTGCTTTTCTCGCAGCAATCCGGCGGCACTTGAAGCGCTATGTCTTCTTTGTGTGGCGAGGCAACTGACTCGACATTCGCCTCAGTCTTGCATTGCCTCGCATTGACACCGTCATTTCCCAACGTTGGTGTTGCCCTTGTTGGAGCTGACTGCATGATCCTGGCGGTACGCGTTTCAGCTGTCATGACGTGTTGGTGTAATGACTCGATTTACAAAGTTTATATGTTGACGCCATGGCAGGGTAGAGACTCAGGGTTGCCCGAGCTAAGTCCTGGGCATAGAGAGAGTGGGGAGGAAATGTAAGTGGGAAGGACGTGATTTGGTGTATGTGCATGATGAGAAAGTCCTGTGGAAATGGTAACACGTTGGAAGTAAAAAGTGAACGGTTGAATCTGAATCATTGATCGCGATATGGTAGCATATGTCCTTGCAAGTTCAACGCATACGCCTAGCCGTTCTTCCGCTGCCCTTGGATTTCAATTATGAGACATTATCCAAACCTCTGCTTCCTAGTATCGTTTGTAGCTGGGCTGTAGTTGGTAGAGGTAATGGGGGAAGATACTGATCTTCTGCCATCTCTCAAGGGCTCTAGATTGGCGGCGACGCGTAGGTTGACGTTGCGGGTTACGATACGGCTATTGATGTAAGCAAATAATAAGACGGGACGTTGAGATATAACAAGACGTATTGTACTTACCGATTCGCAGGCAGAGTGAAACACGGATGCCAGCCTATTGATCCCCTCTCAACGTCTTCTTGAGACTGCTCATCAATGACCCAATACCACGCCGCGAACTGGGCTTCTTCTTGCATGTCTGTCACATGCTTCATCACGCCGTCGTATACTTGTGGACAGAATGACCGCGGGATGAGGCCATTCGCGTCGAGCGATGCAGCGGGTAGCATGTCAGGAACGGCGGCATAGGAGAGTGTGCGCCAAGTCATGTTGAACATTATCTCTGTTGGTGAGAATTTGGATTCCATGGTTCGTCTTGGAGGAAATCCGGATTCCACTCTCGATGGCCGTTCAACTCGGATCATGATAGGGAGCGAAGGGTACGGGCTAAAGTAATCATTTGCAGTCGCGGCAGTGGTTTCTGTCGAGAGCGTATTGTGAAAGGCTTAGAGTGTCTGTGTAGACGTGCAAGCATATTCGTCGGGGTAAGAAATGGGCGCTGGCAGGTGGAGGTGACTTGTGAAATGGAAGAATGGGTGTTGGTTGAACACGAAAGTCAAGGCAACCAGTCTTGGTAGTGACTGTGAAAGAGCAAACGGAGACATTGGTAGACGACTCTAAGCTCAGTAAAAATCATTGTTTCACGTTCTACCTGAATCCATTGTCTTATCAATACAGTCTACTACGCTTCTTGCACACACTCAAAGCTATGCGATACAAAACTTGAAGACGATCGAATCTTTAATACTCTAGAATGCAATACCAGTTGTCCACCATGTATCTCCGCTATGCCACCGTACCAGTTGCCCACCCCAGCACCACAATCCGTCTCTTGCATCAGGACCGAATCCTAGACCTCGGAACAAGGAAAGAGGAACCGGCTCGAAAAGCCATACACCACCTCTCGCAAAGTCGTCGCAGAGAAGATGGGCTGTGAAGTAGAACCAGACGTGGACATAGAGGAAGGTGAATCCCTGCTTCAGTGAACCAGGTAGATTGCGACCTAGTCCAGCGGATTTCGCGGCTTGTGTTAAAGTGACTTCAGCGAAGATACCGAGCGCTTGGAGAAGGAAGAATGCCATTGGTCCTCGAAGTGGTCGGGTGTCTCCAGCACAAGTCCAACTCCCACTACCGTGTACGAAGCCGCTCAAGAAGAAAGCGATGAACAGTTGTAAAGCTTTTGCTGCAGGACTCTTCTTATCCATACCAAAAACCTCAATAAGCTTGCGGCTTGGTTCCTGGAATGCAAACCGAAAAGTTTGGTGCCACCAACTTCCCCACCACCCGGCTAGTCCTTTGTTTAGAACGACGCTATACGGTGCCCAGGTTTCGGGGTACATCCACGGTTCTGCACGCGCTCCGAGGAGAGAGGGAGAGAGCAAACCAGAGAAGACGAGCGGTCCTAGGGAGAAGATGGTTTGGAGCGCGTATTTGACAGCGAGCATAGACAGGGTCAGATGGTATATGTGAGTTAGGACCGGACTGTTTGTGAGGATGGAAGGAAGGTATGTCGGTGGTGCTCTGTCGACATAGCCCCAAAAATAAGGATCCCACATCATTGTCGTCTTCAGTGCATCTATGATGAAGTAACCTTTTACAAATGTCCACGCATTCTTCCTGAGCAACTCTTTCCTGTCTGTATAGAGCTTTACTTGTCCATCGTGGATCCTGTACGAGTGTTTTGGCACCACGTCACCTGAGTTGGCGTGTAGTTGCTCCTGGATGAACTTGGGAGGCGGTGGGAGAGCAGAAGTTCGCCAGTTCCAGCCCATGCCGCGGAAGTTGCAGAATATATCCAGGACCCAGTCGAGACGCTCGGCGAAAGGCCTGAGCGGATAAGGCTGCCATGCGAACTGGCCATGGCGATCTCTTGGTCCGGCTGAACTATTGACGACATCCTCTTCTGTAGCATGTTCCGTATCTTCTTTGGCATTTTCAGCACTGCTATTCGGTCTGTTCTTCTCTTTTGCTTGGTTTCGATCGGATCCGAAAACGCCTTCCATTCTTTCAATACGCATGAAGTCCGTTTGTGCATCGTTACACACTATAATTGCTCCCACCCACGCCACGCTCCATGCATTGATTAGGCCAATCCCCAAAGCTGGCGCTACGGCCCTCGTCCTTGTGTATAAATTACTGTACGTTGCAAAGCCCGTCATCCATGCAAACGCCAAGTATCGAGACCTCTTGAGCCATGGCCGATTCTGATGTGGGACAAGAAGGTATATAATGACAACAAGCGCACCGATTGTTCCCCAGGGATATAGAAAGGGTTGGTATTCTCCAGATGCGACAGCTTTGTCATACTGAGCGTGGTAGTGATTTATCAAATCGTGATGCGAGTGCGGCCAAGGGTCTGAGGATTTGAACAACATGCTTGCGGTACGGAACGAAAAACGGCACACTGGTAAGAAACAGACGACATAGGAAAGAAAGAAAATATACTAAGCACCTGGAATCACAAAACAAACAAGCGTGGCGCGAAATGCTGATGGCATTCTAGATGACGCACTGCATCTTGCGTGTGCGCTAGGCTGAAAGAGTGATAGCGCTGGACTGCGGGCGCCGCAACACCAAACCTTTACCATCGTGATATCGCTGGACTGCAGCCGCCACGAAGTGCGACACCGTATCCTCACCCCAGTCCCTCCCTAACCGAGCGCAAAGAGTGCGAATAAACCGCCAAGATGGTGAACATCACAGAGAAGATCAAAGAGTGGGATAGCGCCGAAGTTTTGATGTGGCCTTGCGCTAACGCCCCGCCAGGATTGAGGATGAGATGAGGAGGACGCAGAGTGAGCCAAAAGTACAGTTAATGTGAAAATCCAAGCTAACGTCTTGCAGAGAATAAGGCTACGGGTATGTCTACGCAAATTTGGCTCCATTATCCAGTGGCAATGGGGTCATTCAGTATCACGTGCTAACATTGAAGTCAAGAATATCATCTTGGTCTACTGAAAGGGTACCAAACCTGTCCTTATTTACCAGTACATTTGTGCTAATTTGGCTACAGAAAACTTGCTCGTCTTCGCGCACAACTCCTTGAGCCCGCTGCAGGTGCAGGCGGTGGCGGAGGAAGCGGATTCGACGTGTCTAAGTCTGGAGATGCACGTATAGCACTTGTTGGCTTTCCTTCTGTAGGAAAGTCTACTTTTCTCTCCAGAGTCACAAAAACAAAGTCAGAAGCCGCATCGTACGCCTTCACCACCCTTACAGCGATTCCTGGTGTGCTGGAATATGGCGGTGCCGAGATTCAAGTTCTGGATCTACCGGGTATCATTGAGGGTGCTGCAGAGGGCAAGGGACGAGGAAGGCAGGTCATTAGTGCAGCGAAAACCAGTGATCTCATCTGCATGATTCTTGATGCAACGAAGAAAGCAGAGCAGAGGCGGTTGCTAGAAGCAGAACTGGAAGCTGTGGGTATCAGGCTGAACCGTGAACCACCGTAAGTTCATGTTGACTCGCGGTATAGCGTAGCAAGATGTTGACCGACATGCAGAAACATCTATCTCAAACCTAAAAAGGCTGGTGGCATGAAGATCAACTTCCAGGTTCCTCCTAAGCATCTCGATGAGAAGATGGTCTACAACATCCTCAAAGACTACAAGATGCTCAACTGCGAAGTACTTGTCCGAGACGAAAACGCGACGGTTGACGACTTCATCGATGTCATCATGAAGGACCACAGGAAATACATCAAGTGTCTATATGTATACAACAAGATCGACAGCATCGGTCTACCTCATCTGGACGAACTGGCAAGGGAGCCACACACGGTCGTCATGAGCTGTGAGCTCGACCTTGGTATTCAGGATGTTGTGGACAGGTGTTGGGAAGAGTTGAGGTTGATTAGGGTGTACACCAAGAGGAAGGGCAATGATCCGGATTTCTCCGAGGCGCTGATTGTACGGCACGGAAGTACGATTGAAGATGTTTGCGACCAGGTGCATCGAACGCTGAAGGAGACGTTCAAACATGCCTTGGTCTGGGGTGCGAGTGCTAGGCATGTGCCGCAAAAGGTCGGTCTTGGACATGTAGTGGCCGACGAGGATGTTGTCAGCATTGTGGCGAAGTAATGCTGTAGTCGAGAGAGGAATGACCATCAGCTGTTCACGTCGTACAGAAAGGGCTCTGATTAGATAGGCTAACCGCGCAATCACGGCTTGCAAGCGCAACAGTGGCGTGTTTACCGTGCTGTTGCCATCCGAGATGCTCCGAGCATCGGACGAGAAGATCTGATAAGGGGCCGCCCCTGCACGTCCCCCATAAGGCTGTCAGTCCACTCCGGCCTGAGCGGATGCTTCATATCCGTCGCGCGAGATTATGATGCGAAGTCACGTGAGGGTCTCTAGTCTTTGGGTCGCGACTTTTGATTGGCACAGAGGCAGCCGGTTGAGCAGCAAATGCAGTTAGGATGGACCCTGGCGTGCCTCAAGCTCAGGGACGCTTGTACTCGGCGCGCTGAAAAGTTATTGCCGATAAAGCACTGCGTCCCGTTATTGCTACCTACTTGACCGAGAGCATTCGCCTCGCCACATTCGTTTGTATTCCCCTAGATACCCTGCTGCTTTGGCACTGCTTTTTGGATTGCCCTTGTCGCCTTTCTTTCTCAGTGCGACACAGTAATACGTTTCTGCATTGCATGCGCCTGCTGCTCATCCAAAACACCACGAATCGCAGCCCTTCCGTACCTGAATCCACCGATCGCCGAGGCATCCCCTCACCCCAGCCACAGCAGCCATGGACGTCGTCCTCGAATTGGCAGACACGTTCTTGTTCGACCCTCTATACGCCACTCTCCTTCCCGCCTCTACATCGTCCTTTGCCGGCAATGCGACCGTCTCAAGCATCAGAGAGGAGCCCACCGCTTTCGCCGTGCCACATGCGACTTGGCAGTACGAGCCCTCGACGCAGTTCTTCTCCGTGGAGCCCTCCAAATATGCCTACATGAGCCAATGGACGCGTGACGATTGGCGACGACAGGCTCTCTCATTGTACCTTATCACATGGTATGCACTGCCCCAGACGCAATGGCTAAACTCTCCTAACAATCCCGTAGGCTCTTTGGCGTACTCGTCTACTACGTTTTCGCAGGCGCCTCGTACTACTTCGTCTTTGACAAGGCCACCTTCAACCACCCACGATACCTCAAAAACCAGATCAAGCAAGAGATGAAACAGGCCAACATCGCCTTCCCCATCATGGCCATCTTCACCGTGCCCTGGTTCCTGCTCGAGGTCCGCGGATACTCTAAGCTGTACGATACCGTAGACCAGGGCCCGGGACTCTGGTACAACTACCTGCAGTTCCCGCTCTTCTTCCTCTTCACCGACTCGGCCATCTACTGGATCCACCGTGGTCTGCACCACCCCCGCGTCTACAAGTACGTCCACAAGCCACACCACAAGTGGATTATGCCGACTCCCTTCGCCTCGCACGCGTTCCACCCCGCCGACGGCTACGCTCAGGGTCTGCCCTACCACATCTTCCCCTTCGTATTTCCCCTGTCCAAGTTCGCATACGTCTTCCTCTTCGTCTTCGTCAACATCTGGACTGTCCTGATCCACGACGGCGAGTACGCGCACAACTCTCCTATCATCAACGGTGCCGCCTGCCACACCATGCACCATCTATACTTCAACTACAACTACGGACAGTACACTACCCTCTGGGACCGCCTTGGAGGAAGTTACAGGAAGCCCAACGACGAGCTCTTCCAAAAGGAGCTCAAGATGTGTCAAAGCGAGTGGAAGAAGCAGGCCGAAGCCGTCGACAAAATGGTACAACAAGTCGAGGGCGATGAGAATAACCGCACATATGCTTCTGAAACGAAAAAGGTCCGCTAGACGTTCCTTTCGTCTCAAGTACATTGCAAGTGGGAAAGATGTTGAAACGCTGTTACGAAAAGTTTTTGGAGCGAAGAGTTAAATGCCCATGTGATCGCGGGCCGGTCTTCGTTGGCTGTTTGGATTGAATATTTCTGTGTGTGTATATATCGTTCTTTGCGCTCGTTGCATCAAGACTTTGAGTATACCGGTTTTGCTTTGAGGAGCAGAGCCCTTGTTTGTAATATAATGGAGCATAGGGAGTTTGAAGAATCGCTTCCTGGAATATTAATAGTAATGTGGCTGGCATGTAGCATTCGTCTTTGCTCGAACAAGTTGCAAATCGCATCATGATATCAGGCAAACAGCTCTATTTGGACAAGTTGGTAAGCTTGACCCCTCATCGTACGGAGCGGGGCCTGACTCGTGTCACTTGGCCTTAGTCCGCGCCCTTTCCAATACATGCATGAATGAAGTCATACGTATCATGTCGTATGTTACGAATCCGTTCATCTTTGAATTAAGAAAAGAGGCGTCGACTGAAAAACAATTGACAAAAACTCGTCTTCGTCAAGTCCTGGTCTTTTAAACTCTGTTATACAGCACTACCATCGGCCCTATCCAAAGTAAGTACACAAACAAGTCATGCTGCGTAATTGCAGTACAACGTGTTCACTATTGGACTGACCCTCTGTGACAAAGCCAGCCACCCCCTCTCTCATCCCCAATAGCTACGTACTCTTCCGTCATCATCATCATGGCCACCTCTAAGGAGAACACCCCTCCCATGATCTCCATAACAACAGTCCATGCCGAAGGCGAAATTGGCGACGTAATAACCTCTGGCATCCCGGACCCTACCCACCTCCCCACCATGTACGCCAAACTATGTCACTTTCGCGACAACGCCGACCATTACCGCCAAATGCTCATGCAAGAGCCTCGCGGCCGTGTCTCCCAATGTATGAACATTCTCCTATCCCCATGCGACCCCTCAGCCGATGCTGGGTTCCTTATCCTGGAAAGCGACGAGTATGCCACTATGAGTGGCAGCAATACCATCTGCGTAACTACAGTGTTGCTCGAGAGTGGCAGGCTAGAGATGAAGGAACCGGTCACGACAGTCGTGTTAGATACGGCGGCGGGACTGGTGCGCGTGAGAGCTGAATGTGAGGGAGGAAAGTGCAAGACTGTTGAGTTTGACAACGTACCTTCCTTCGTTTACGAACTTGGTTACAAAGTCTCCGTACCTGGTTTACAGAATGCCGAAGTGGAAGTGGATATCGTGTGGGGCGGTATGTACTTTGTGCTCGTGGATGCTGAGTCGCTTGACCTGGCTATCGAGCACAAGTATGGTAGGGACTTGGTGGAGTTGGGGCAGAAGATTATGAGGGCGGTTCAGAAAGTTTATACGCCGGTCCATCCGCTCAACGAGGGGATCAAGGGGGTTAGCATTTTGGGGTGGACAGGGCCACTTGTGGAGGAGGGAGATGGGACGAAGAGTGCTATCAATACTGTTGTCGTTTCCCCAGGCCGATTTGATCGTAGTCCTTGTGGTACGGGAACTTCGGCGAGGATGGCGGTGTTGCACAAGAAGGGGCTGCTGCAGGTTGGGGAGAAATTCGTGCATAAGAGCATAATTGGTACGGAGTTTCAGTGTAGCATACTGGGTACGACGGAGGTTGGAAAGTACGAAGCGATATTACCAAGGGTGAAGGGAAGGGGATGGATTACAGGGTATAGGCAGGTCTTGATGGATAACGGTGATCCTTTTCCGGTCGGGTTTAGAGTTGGAGATGTTTGGGGAATGGATGAGTGTTGAGAGTGAGCGAATAGATAAACTCGAAGAATTGAGCAATATTGTGAAGAGATGGAGGGCTTCATGGCCGACAATACTAGAAGACGCTCCGATATTCCTGTTAAAAGGGCAAAGGAACACTGGAAGCTACTAGAGCGCCACAGTATCTTCACGAGCGACTTCGATCAACATACGCCGGAAGGAGAGGGGTGCGATGCATACCGGAGCATATTGATATCACTGTTGTCCTCTCCGACTCTGAACGAAACCCGAAACAGCTCCAAGGTAGTCGATATCACACAGTTCGAAAGTGCTGCAAAGTAACACATAGTTCATACGCCTCCAAGCCTTACCGTTTTCGAATAACCAAGAAACGCTATGAAGAACTTTATTGTTTGCGTAATTTGTAGAGCTTTCCATACTTGATCGTTGATGGTACCACGGGACGTTACAGGGTTGCGCACAAGTAGTATCATTACCAGACGAACGATGCGCTCAAAGAAGAGACCTGCATTACGGAAGTCGCGACTACATACATGTCTATGGGTAAAAGAAAGTCTTCTTGCATTGACAATTTAGCATTTTAGTCCAATTAGAACCTGCTGTCGACATATGTGCTTACAAAAGCCGCACACTAACATATAAGTTCGGCAAATCTACCATCTTCCAATCAAGTGTCGAAGCTACGTTGAAGCAATCCTGCCCCTTCAAAACGCTGAAAGACAAAATTCAACAGTCTCTCAATCTCAAAAACGAGGGGCATCAGCTTCCTTCCCAAAACTCCAACCCCCTCAACCAACGGGATGCGCGCGCTACAGACTTCGCATATAAAACCAGCGGTGAGAAAACCACCAATTCGCTCTTCGCCTCGATGATAATCCCAAGCGCCCAGCTCGTCAGGGATGTCTTCGCTAGCATGTACCAACGTTGGGACGGGACCGAGGCGAGAGATGGGGCAAAAGCAATTCTCATCCACACCTCCACCCACCAACTTCCTAAATGGGAGTGGACCCCGCCACACCATAGAGCTGCCTTCTCACCGCCGTATGGATCAGCAAACTACGAGGCTAGTTTTTAAGTTTACCAAATGTGCGTTTACATGGGTGCAATTGAAGCTGAACCAAGGCTAGTTTGCCGGCTGACTGGGACATATGTTTGCATAGGTGGGATGATGTGGCGAAGCGCTGATTACCCACTAGGTTTGCGGGTACCATGGTAATGCGCGACATCTGACAGCTACCAGATACTCGGAGATCGTCTTCTGGGGGAGATCTCGAGAAATTGAACTTGACAACTGTCCGGTCAGATGATCGAGTGACAAGTGTGTTACAAGTCAATTGGAGGGTGCACAATCACCCCGGTACCTTTGAGATGCACCTTGAGATGATCTTCCAGTCCTCCAACTTACATCGGCATCACCGATGAGACACGTATCTCGTTTTGATTTACTCTCTTTCACGTATCTTGGTTCAGGGTTGAAGGTAGTCGCATTAGCCAAACCTTAACTACATGCTCAAGGCAAGTATGTGGCGCACGGTCTCGAATTGAACATACATGATTGTAAACGGTGTACCTACTGTAGCTTACTGGAATCGGTTTAGTACTTCGTACGTAGTAGCAGATGGATCAGATACCTTGATACTTGTACATACGTGAAGTGTTTTCGCAAGAGTATGCCTGCCTTATTGCATGCATGTACAGGTACATGTAGGGTGTCGTCATTGTTGTGTACACCACAGCCGATCAGCCGTCAAACGGAATTGCTCGCTCTTTGCACCAATGATCCCGTCTTTGAGCTTTACCGCAACTTCCAGCTAACAGGAGACAATCCAGGCGCTGGTTGGCTTACAATAAGCCCAGGCTGCAGCACATTTCCCCGGCCGTCACTGTATGCTATACCTCTTTGATCCCATCTCTCTACGGCTCATCTCATTCCTGTAATCCGTGTTTATGCCGTGTTATATGCGAAATGGTACAGCATCGAACGCTCGCATCGTGAAACTCTCGATGCACCATTGCCGCTGCAGTGTTGTTCGTAGCGGGGTGCTCAAATGCGAGATATTCGTGCAAGTACGCCCTCGAGTTTACTTCCGGTACTCGTTATATCCGACAGAGCTAGTGGCGAAGTGATATACTACGACTGTCTGTGGAGCTGCATATACGATCAGTGGTGTACTAGTCGACGCGACAACGGCCATGACTGTAAAGAAGGAGAATATTGAACTTCTGCAACATTGAACATGTTACATGAATTGCTTCTAAATACTGTCGTGAAAGTTTCGCGGAAGTATCGAAGAACGGAGAGTGGCTACTGACTCCGGACCAAGGAAACGAAGCTGCCCGTCCGATGTTAGCCACCGAGCATAGGAGTGTTAACTTCAACCGGGTGCCATCAAGACAATCTCCAGACATGGCCCTTGGGTTGATGATGATACACGAGCAGTCTCGGATAGTTTGGTAGTGAAGATAACCTGTAGAGCTTTTGCTCACCCCGCCTGCGATAACTCCATAAAATTCTTGAAGAAGGCATGGGTTGAATACATTTCTCGGCATTTTCGATATGACAGCTTAAACGACCCTAACATGACAGTTCTGAAGGTTGACATTGACACTTGGTGGATATTGCCTGACATCCCCTGATCTGCAAGTTCCTTGAAACGGGGCGTAGAGAGCTGGAGACTATAGTGTCACGCGCGTTGGACCAGCCAGCTATTCATCGTCATCAATATTGGACTCACAGCCACCTAAACCCCACGCTTCTAATACTTACGTTCTCGCCAAGGCCGAGCTCGCCTCTCACTTTTCCTATGCTGAGGTAATACAGCTCTGCTTCTAGTGCACCAAAGTCCCGTTTCGACTGGCTCCCTGCATCGGCTGCAGGTCTACCTCGAAGCAATATGTCGCCCCGGCTCCCGTTATTCTCCAGAAGCTCCCCATCCATATGCAGCAAGGTCTCTCGGGCAGCTTTTGTGAGCATATGCACACGTTTTCATATGCAGACAGGGCGCCCTGGCTCCCGATATTCCCATGTTTTACTCGTATCCGAACGGTCCATTAGGGGTTGATAGCAAGCGTTGTACGACTGCGCTTGTTTTTGCCACATGAAGTCGAGCTTGCAGGGAGGCTGAACTAGGTTTTACGGGAGGCGTATTCTATATGGTAGTATTAGAAATGAACAGGCTCGGGAGTGGTGATGGTGATGGCGGGAAAAGCAAGACATACGAGAACGTCGGCATGCCGAACAGTCGGAATCCACCATCGAACGTGAGGTGAGCGAATGGGCAACTACAATGCAGGGGGAGATGCATATAGACGGACATGCCCGAAACCATAATCTCTGATCGAAAGTATGGAGAGCCGAGGGCCAGGGTTGAAGCGCCCACGAGACTGTGTGACTTTGAAGATGGGAGATGGTTGCAGGATGCATTGACATCCATGGCCGAGCTATCCTCGTCTTGTCGTTCAGATGCCGCAGGTTTACGAGCTAGACCGGTGAGACCGAGCCACTGGATAGAGCAGGCGTACGAATGTATGACGGTCTCGAAGGGGAAGTGTTCCACCACGTTCGCGTGTGAACTTCTCATCTCGCCTAAGCACCAGAAATCTGACAGGATACAGGTGGAGGTCGCTTGCTTGTCAAAGTGAGACATGCATTAATGATGCGAGCAGTACATACCAACACATATGGAGGCGTGATGTCCGAATACATGCGCTATAGGCCCTGTGTCGCCTATTCGTGACGAATACAAGCCCGCTAGACGGCCGCCCCATATTGCTCCCTGTCTCCGCGCTTAAGGTTCGAGTGCTGTGACGAGTATGCAGGAAAAAGTTCCGCCACCATACAAGCCCTGCATTGTTCTGAAAATTCTCCGAAGAGCACCGCAGAACGATATTGCAGGCGGCACTTGCGATTCGATCCAGCATGGAAGGCTGCCCAATTTAGCGACGTAGTTAATGCCGTGTAACTTTGACGTATGTTTCAGACCAGAGGTTCGCAGCGCGTGAGTGGGGATACATAGTCATGTGTCTGGGAACGGGTACATACATTGCATATGCAATGTTCCGGCAGAGATCTCAGGGGAAAATGGGTGGATGAGATCTGAGCAGTGCTGGGATCGGGATGTATGATGATGAATGTGGTCAGCTCCACGGACGTTGTCATGACTGGGCAGACCTATAGTAGGAGACTTCTTCTCTTCCAAGGCAGTCTCTGCGTGCTGTGAGGAGTGTGCATCTACAGCCCTTCATTAGCCATTCACCTTGTCGTGATCACCAACTTGCAGCGTTCTGGACGCGAATATAGCGGAGTCTCTAACGCCCCCACCGAAGAGTTTTGCAAATCCTCATCAACACTGGAATTTGCATGACCCGCTTTCATTCGCGTTCGTGTTCTCTATCCCTCTCTTTCGCTTTTATTTACCCGTAGTACGCACGACTCAGATGCCTGGTCACCGAGACAGGCCAGCTCATCAGCAAGCCCTGGAGACATAAGGTTTTCCATATTCAGTCAGGCCTACATGAACTGACTCGAATTACCATGTTCAGGTACTCCAGGAACATCAAAAGAGGGTCCCGGCAAGACGGTAAGCCGCTTCCGGGAGATTTCAACCGAGCGGTCCAGGGGTTGTGAGCTGAGAACCGGCATTTTGACGAGAGGAACGGGAGTGCTCCTTACAGGGGCTATACGCGATTGTAGTTGGCTAAGACAGCATTGGGCGCTGCTGGCTACCTTTGCGGCTGTCTGCGAACGCGGGTCAACGTAAAAAAACAACCACAGTGTCGTAGCCAGAGAACGAAGACCGTGCGAATATGAGTGTTTTGTTCCACGTGTCTGGATGCGGACGTTGAGAACGTGGAGGCGAGAGCGTGAAGTTGGAGGTTGGGCGTGAGGGAGCGAGTCGTGCGCTAACAGTGACATGCTGACAAGCACGACCTTGCTCACCAGCGAGGCGTCGACCAACAGTTTGTCCTCCCCACGCTTTGCAGACAAATGCCCAAGTATCTTACCTTGTAAGTCGAGATGCATTGACATGAAACGCTTCCTTCAGCCCAATCGATTCCCTCACGCCATGTTTAATCCATCGTGAGTCGATGCCTCGGTTTCCACGGATGATAAGGCGTGGCACCCCACGGCGGATCCCAACTCCCACTCCCATCCACATCAGCATCGCGCCCCCTATCCATGTGACAGGCCTAAAGCGACTAATTTCTCCTATCGTGAAGCCTCACCAGGGAAAGCCCAAATGTCGAGCAAAGTTGGCGGATATACGTCATAACATTCCAGAATTCTGGACCTGCGTAGACAAATAGATCGACAGTTAGCAGAATGCAGATCCTACCCAATCAACGGAAATATCCCCACACCCGGGCTCAAGTGTCGAGTATTCTATAGCCTGACAGCGCGTAGAAGTGAGGCTTTGGACATTCCTAGCATGGTTGCACCGTATTCAACGTCATATTGCAACGCAAGACGGCGATGTTACGTACCTCAATCGTTCGCGGAGATGGCGACGGCATCATTTGGCTGTTTGAAGGATGGCGAAGGCGCCTTGGACTCCGGGCATAAGAGCCCAAAGATGGTGCCATTGGCCGCTTAGCGACGCGTCTTACGTCCTCAGAACGCCCGCATGGTGGTAGTTGGGGAACCCGGTCTGCGATCTGGCGGCGGCGGAAGCGCGGGATGTGCATCTCTTTACCTGCCCAATACTGACCCGCGGAGAAGCTCTGCGCAAGATATGATTCGTTGACAGGATTGCTATCTTCAATGAGGATGCTGCGAGATGGGAAAATTGAGGGTGAGGCAAATGACTGGGTAAATGGGGCCAAAGGCAGAATCATGAATCTCACTGCTCAAGTGTTGGGCGGCATGCCTAATAGTAAGTGGTCCACTTTGCGGGCCTGCGGCTTCGTGCAAGCTTGTATAGGTGCTGCACGGCATATACTGTAGGTAGTTCCACAACCCACTTACTTGCGCCAGTGCGTAGTTTGTCGGCAATCGGCGGCAGTCAGCCGTAGTTCAGAAACGTCAGTTCCTATCTTGCACTACAGTCATGGACAACCCAGCTAGATCTGAAGATGTGCCTAGACATGTAGCTAATGCAATTACAACACTGTCACTTCAAACTACTGGCCTGTTGGGCGCAAGTCTAAGCGAGTGGGTGTTGCGAGCAGAAAGCTGCGGTGAATGAACTGCGCAGTCGCCTTGCATCTTGCATATTGCAGCGAACCAGTCGCGTACGCTCCAGATGTTGAGTACAGTTGAGCGGTGAGTCAGTTTGCACCACACTGCGTTCTGTTGATACTGTAGCGGCGCAAAGACAGAGGACAGTGACTGGATGGATAAATGTTCTTTGCTTCATAATGCTACTCTATTCGTACAGTGATGCGCACCGGGGCGTGGCGCTATGGTAGATCTTTTTGCAACTGGTTGACAAACAAGCGTACATGGGACAACAATACATGGGACACTAAACGCCAAACATAATGGGCGTGGACAAGAATGCGTGAGAAGACATTACTGATGCAGCGTAACTATGCCATAACGCCCGTGTGAACAAGATGATAGAAAACAATAAAGAGATTGTACCCTTCGCTGCGCTAGCTTGGGTACTTATCGCCCGTGCCCCGATGCCTACTCGATTCAAGCGCCGATATCCAAGAACTCCCACGGATTGAACCGAAGTCTTCTATAGTGTTGCTCATTTGCTTTGAGCAGTGCTCAGTACATCTTCCGTTCAGGAAAGACCATATCGTCGTAGCCATTGCCTTGAGGGTGGTGGTACCCGTTGTGCATTGGTGCATTGAAGTCGTATGCGCTGTCTGTTCGTTGTATTGTGATGGTGTCGGAAGACATCGATGAGCAGCGGCTCTCCCGGTCGCTGCTTTGCTGGTGGAAAGAGGTGGAGTAGCCTCGGGCCATGGGAGCCATTGACATAGAGGCGTAGGAAGAAGGGTATGAAGAAGCGGATGATGACATGGCGGAGATGCGCCTGTCTTTGCCTCGACCTTTGATACCCTTGTTGGAGTTCTTGTATAGCGATGCGAAGTACTCCCAGAGTTCCTTGTCCTCTTGGGAGACATAGTCGCCTGGGTTGATAGTGGCAAACTTTGTGGTAAGGTACCTGAGAGTAGCGGCATGGAACTTGTTCTGGTGGGACTACAACTAGTTAGTGACAGAATGAGGAGTCTTCTTGGGCGAAACAAACTTTGAGGTTGCCTAGTTGAGTGAACTGCTTGCCACAGTCGTCTAGCTTGCAGCTGAAGGGCTTGATCTGTTGGTGAACAATCTTGTGTGCGCGAACGTTGCCACGTTGGGCGAATGTCTTGCCACAGATGTCGCAGCTGTATGGTCGCTCTCCGGTGTGACGCCTTTCATGTGTCTTGAGGTTACCGAGCTGCGAGAAGGACTGGCCACATCCAGGTGCTTTGCAAGGAAATGGCTTGTCACCAGTATGGGCGCGTATGTGGATCTCAAGGTGTGTCTTCTGGTAGAAGCTCTTGTTGCAGTTGGGCACAGTGCACTGATAACGCTTCCTAGGCTTCTGGGCATTCTTTGATGCGTCGTCCTGCGAAACATTAGAAGGTCGAATTTGAAGTCTCGGAGTGAATAACATACCTTCTGCTCATTCTCTGGAGGCGGGTTTGTCTGCTTCGCCTGGATGGCCCTCATAAGAGTGTCCACATCAGTAGCGAAGTTGGCACCGCTACCTTCTGTAGGCTCTGAAGTAGATCGCTTCAATTCGGTTCCATAGGACGGATCCGCATACATGTGGTTTGACTGCGCCGGTGATGTACCCTCGGACTTGACGTTTGGGTTGAACACATGTCGGACATCTGGCAGAGTGGGAAGCGCCTGAATATCATGTGATTGAGGGTATGACACGGGATGTGGCATGTTCGATGCGTAGTAGGAAGCTTGCTGCATGTTGTATGGGTTTACTGGTACCGATGTGGGAACGTCGTATGCATATGCTCCAGCTTGGTAGGGGACGGAGGTAGGGAGAGTGTTTGCTGAGTAGAGAGGCATGTTGTTCATGTCCATGTGGTTTGAAGTGGGTTGATATTCTCGAGAGACAGGAGCGTTCGAGACATTCCGCGAAGTGTCGTAGGGAGGCATGATGTTGTTGAGATGCATGTTAGGAATGTGCATTGAGGGTTCTCGTCGGTCTTGCCAGAGTCCAATGTTGTGAGATGCAACCACGGTAGCCATGGCAGATGGAGAAGCTGTTGCCACGGTATGGGCAGAAGGGTACAATGGTGGTATACCCTGCAGTTGGTAGGGCGAAGGTAGGAAGCAAGTATGGGCTGGGCCGTGTGCTGTCGGGAACAGGTCTATCAAGACTGCAATAAGAAGATGCGGTGGAGATAGAGGGTCAGATGACGTGGGAGTGTTGTAGATGTGCTCGATCGATCTGGCTGTGGTATGGGGGAGCGTTTGGGGCTTTACATATGAATGGGCCAACTCGATACACTACCACTGTGAGCATCCCGCAAGCAAGGATGGTGTTTGTAGTGGAGCAAGCCGAAGGGACTAGGGTTAGAAGCCAGAGCATGGTTGCAAGACGAACAGGGAATATCGCTCTCGCATGCAGCCAAGAAGTTACTGGGATGGAGGCTTTAGTGGAAGGCTAACCAGCAGAGAATGGTGGATGTACGGGGCACGACAGCCGACTAGGATGCAGTCTGAAGACGGAACCGGGGTACGGTCCCAGGTGTGAACGGACACATGGCTTCGCCGTCTCATGTGCAGTGTGGGGGTTCCATAGGACAAGACGCCCAAGCCACACCCCATTTGTCGATACGTTAATCACCGCCAAAATTCACCGTGCGGCCTACCCCAGGAGTCAATGTTGAGCCTCCCTGCATATCGGGTGTCGGCTGTCCGATTGCCTCACGGATAGCAGCAGTCGCAATGTCGAATTCGAGGCCGATCGTGAAACATACAGGGCTTGCGCGTCGTCAACAGAAACGTACAGTACATTCCACGAGCATTCGACCAAGTACGAATTCCTCGTGTGCTAGGCCAGCCGGCATCCCGGTGAGGATCCTCGCATACTGGCTTATCGTGGCTGGCAATTTCTTGGGTCCTCGGCGTAGTGTGAAGCGCGACTCCTGGTCTTCCGAACATACACACGTGGGTGCAGATATGCGCTATTGCATCCGATAATCGACGGCGGCGTGGCGGTCGACGCTTCTACCCGGGGCGTTGACGGGACCGTAGATGAAGCCCACACTCGCCAATCATTGGTGTTTCTGGACAAGCTCATTACCTCCACCTACGAATGGAACGCCTCAAACCCGAAGTACCTTAGGTAATAAGAGGCGGCGCCCGGACGCAGCATAGGTCAGATCTTGACGTGCCTTAGTCTGTATGGGAGTCCCAGCTTGTCATCGGGGAAGCAGACGGGTATGCCGCCCCACTTCGGCTTTGTTTCAAAGCTTATGAGTTCGAGCATCGCAGTGGTCGAAGCTGAAAACAATCGCAATTCAGATGCCAATGGTACTGTCGACTTGTACAGTTGTTTTTGGAGATCGACGTGCTGGAATAGCATCACGGTTCTCACAGGGTCTCTGCCCGCACATGAAGGAGTGAAGAGCACCAAATCACGTGGCTTTGGCAGATGGCGCTAGCACAACTTCGGGCATTAGCCTCAAATATTTGCTCACGCGATTACAGCAATCTTGCAATGAGAAATTCATCCCACTTCAGCGGTTATGTGGAACCTTTCCGATCTATTGGGGCACTTCACCATGTATCCTCTCAGCTAAAAGGTACCATCAAAGTTCTTGCCTTTGGTATCCATGACCCCGCCCGCCTCTGTATTTGCTATTGGCGCCCCTGCGTTAAGGGCGATCAAATTTATTGTTACCCGCCACATGCTGTGGCCCAACAGTGAGTTCAGACTCTCGTGGCGTCACAGTCGGCGATGTCTCTAGGCCGACGCTATGTACGGCGCGTGCTTCCCTATGTATCCACAGTCTCTATTGCGCCATTAGACCTGCCACCAACGGCCCTTAGTACTACTAATCCATATACCCCAATTCAAAACGCCATCTTTGGAAATTAACTTCGAACGACGCGCTCGGATCTTTAAGCAGCTTAGGTTTCCCGTATCGACCAGACTAAAGTCTCTCATCCTTGACAGCCCGATTGACGACCGTTTTCTCGACATGTATTTGAAATACAGAGTCAATGCTGAAAGGAGCTCAAACAGCTGCAGGGGCTTCAGATCGTGCTATTGATCTACATGCCAAACAGCGGCGTAGGCGACTACGGGATTGCAACATACCGAGATGGCATGGCAGTACACCCGTCTCTCCGCCCCTCAGTGGGAAGCACTGTCCAAGATTCAATTACATGCCCTTGGGGTATCCCTACCAAGAGAGCAGAGCTGAATGCTGGACGGATGTGACCAATCTACACCTCCCGAGGACCGATGCTTCCTCCTTCCACTTCTAGTCCTTGGTGACCGGGACCAGATAGGTTGAGACTTGCATGTGAGTAATCTGTGTGGCAGGTTTCCGTGCCAGGGTGTATCGATCGCGTCGTAGTATTTCACCGGATCATCCGTGCGGACCCTTAAGGTATCTCGTGCAGAGGGCGATTGCTTCAACCTCCCACACTGGGACACAAAGATCCGAAGTGCAGGGTTTCGTTGAGCCGCGTGGCTCGGGGACAACTCTTCGACCTAAGGTCGATGCGGTTGATGCTGGTAAGTGAGGTTTGGAGGGGTTGCAATACTAAGAAATTCTTCTTCCGAAATCGTGGACCTGCAGTAGTCTCAAACGAGTGCTGGACACCATCATGCGGCATCAAATCTCGCACTTCAACCTCCAAAAAATGATGGACCACCATGGAATGCTCGTGTACAACGGAGCTCATATCGCAGCAGTGTGGACTTGTCTTAGTCTCTGTCCTTCATCGAGCGGTCTTTGTGCAAGATTGTTGTAGTGCCAAGATATCGGATATCGTCCAAAATCACTTGGCCACTTCACTCATTTCTCTCTGTTGTACGAAACCCGAGCTGCCAGAAACCCCCATCGCTCATATTTCCCGTTTGCGTCCGGTTCATTGATACTTTCTTGACAGGCGTTGGCTGTGCGGACGGCAACAGCGGCGGCGGCGCACGGAACCAGCGGCAGCAGGCCGCGGTCCTTGTTCGGTGGTACTGGACTGCGATCGCCACCTAGTGGTCTGTCTGTGTTAGTGTCCGCTTCACAAGATATCGACTCTCGAGTGAAGCGAATGGTTCGTGAACCTTATGCTAGCCAAATGACGCATGCATGTGCGTGATGCTAACCGAGCAAAGATCCTAGGCCCGCGGGTCAAAGACGCACAGTTCGTCCTGTCAGACCCACCTTGGTTAGGCGGACAGGTCAGCCGCAGATGCCAGTGACCAAACGGATAGGCCCGATCGCTTCCCCGGGGCCGCTGATGTGTTTCATCCCATGTTCCCTGCCTTCACCATCAGATCGCGTTCGATACCATCGTACAGCCACGGCTGCTCATGTAATCCCCTGAATACTTCCAAATCGCTTGGTGCTCGCGTATCTACACCGCATTGTATACGAGTGTGGAAGACATCACCCTATTCACGCTCCAGGGCTCACCGTCGATCACTTCTTGGGTCTTGAGTGGTCAGCAACAAGGTGCTGTACGGTGTAGTTAGCTCCTGGGCTACCTCTAGCAACCTTGACGGTTATCCGGCGGGCAAGCATCGCTACCAGCGCTTCGCTTCCAAGTTGTCCTGCAGTCTTCTCATCTCGGTATCTACCGTGAAGAGGAGAGATGCTTTGCAGTCTGGCGGTTACCGATATCGACATGTGGTTTCAATGGATAAGGTGCAATGTGGTTGCGCTACAACAGTATTATGTTCCGGAATATACCATGGGGTATCGCAACAGGCTGATCTAGCGCGACTAACGCTCCAAACCCCAATCGCAATTCAACACCTCTACCGCGAAGCTGTGAGATCCTCCGCGGAAGGAAAGACAACGAAGCAACTGAGCTTGACCGCCAGACGTCTCAGAACTGTTGACTTGGAGCTACCGCATTTTGAAACCTTGGAATGTAGGCTCAACACCATCATTCATGTCCAGCAGACACACTCACATCGGAGTGCAGCAGTATGCTTGAACAACACTCACCGCAAGTACGAAGGCATATCCAACAGGGGAGCAAGACATAGGATGCTCGTCCAACAGCGGCTAATAACGATGGCAAGGCGAATGCTGAGCTCGGTAGTAGCAGCCAACAGTACCGATGCAATGCAGCCGTCAAAGCTAACCACGGAAGAGGTACATAAGCCGGCCCTGACATGCACCGACTACGGTTGAATCCTGTAGAGAATTAGCAGTGAATTCCCAGCCTCTGTGCCTCTCAACATGTTACATCACACTGTGATACCTGGAACACCCTGGCAGCAAAGCTTCATTGTGCGCAACTGCCCCAGCCATCTTCCTGCTCACGGCACGTACGCCTCCCACGCAGATCTCCTTTTTATTGCCACCTTGATCGCCTTCTAGAAAACATCGATGTGGATGATCAAACACGCTACACCTCAGTGGCGTAACGTACAGATCTCTCATCGCTCGCCTCTTGATACAGATGAGATCGCAAGCGATACACCGTACTTCGACTCCAAGACCACTCTCTTCTTGAAATCTCGAAATGGCGGTAAATCGGTCTAGAAGAGTCTGGTACACTACCGGCTTACGTGCATGCCAAAGTGGTAGCGTGGAGATGCTTGACTTTTGATGTATACAGTAAGTCACGCGTCGATCACTACGTACAACATGCATATCACTACACAGTGTCATCATGTTTCCGAGAAAATCTTGATCACTCGCTGCGACTTAGGCGCCATGATTCCAGAAGTTCGAAAATCTCCAGCCACGATATGGTGTTCTGTAATGGTGTGTAGCTTGAGTCAGTTTCCCTGCCAGTTCGTATCGGAGTCTTCATCGGATCTGATGCACCTTCATCGCCCCTGCGCCCGGGAATGAGAATCTGCATTTAGAACCATGTACTGCTGCATGGCCGACTACACGCTAGTCGACTTGGCGTGAAGGACGGGTGCTGAGTGTATATCCGGAAAGCGATGATGACAGAATGAAGATTGCGCAAACAGGGGAGGTGCATGAACTTCCAGGATCAGCTGACTGAAACTAACTCGTTCGAACGCAGCGTGCATGATCTGAGAACGCGATTCCGATGTACCTGAGCGTTCCGCTACAGCGGGTCGATAGAGTGGCGTCAGACAGATAGCAAGAAATCGAGTCGTGAGTGTGAACATGCAATGCGATACTTGAGGTGTGCTGCCGTCCTAGCTGGATAGCTCGCAATCATGTTGCATTATACCAGTTGCAAGGACGAATCTGAAGCGTCAGGGACCAAGCGATCCT